TTGAATAGTCTATGACTACTCTATGATTTTGATAATACTACAATCTACTCATTAATCAAACTGAAGCGTCTTTATATAGTAACAATACCATTTTAACAATTACAGTATCTATTTTGTCACTTTCCGTGGCATTGAGATAATAATTTGAAAGAAAAGGACAGAAAAATTTGATTGTAAAGTTTTATAAATTGTTATTTTTAAAAAAGTAATAATTTGTATTCATTGGTGGTTTAGTTAGGCTAATTAATAGCTTTCTCTCATGGAAAGAGACTTGTACTGAATAGTGGGATTAATGTAACGTGAAACATTATACAAAATTATAGATGTATAGTAATTATCCTATGCATCACAAAATGCGATAAAAAGTATAAGTATCAAAATGTTAAATACACATTTTTAATTGCAATTTGAAAAACGAATATCAACAGCGCAATTCCAGGAATTAAATATGATAGACACCATAGACACCTTGCGCAGGACGGAAGACAAAAACGGGTATTATTTTAACGCGGGAATTTCTGCGCGTGACGAAACGTCATTGAATAGTGAAAGTGGTGTTTATGCGGTTGTACGCTCGTAAATTGGAAAGCATTATACAGTGGCTGTCACCTTTCCACCTGCGAGATATTGACGGAGCGTATACGATGTTTTTCCCGCCATATACGGGTCAAACGAAATGATACTTTAAAAAAAAACCCGCGAATAATGCACGAACTTTGCGTGTCTCTTTAAGTAAATGCGTTTAACGAAACGATTTTATAATGCAACTAGCTGCGACTTCATCCGCGTGGAATTTAACTTTATTTTTCTAAAATAAAAGTTGCCTAAGTTACTCCTTATTAAATCAGCTAACTGTTAATAAAAGTCGCGTCAAAATCGGTCCAGCCATTTCAGAGATTAGCCGGAACAAAAAATATTGTAAAAAATGTTATTTTGGTGTATGTACCGTATTTATATTGATAAGCATGTAGTAAAAAACGGTTATTTAAATATTACAAACAGACACTCCAAAATTATTTATATGTATAGGTTAAAGAATCTTTAAAAATGTCTATTCAAAAGAGCAACACACAAGTTTCTTGCTCATTCTTCTTGTGATGAATCTGCATTCCGAATGAGTGGTAGAATCAAAATATGACTATTAAAAAGTGCTTGTAATGAGTTTATTTGAATAAAGATTATTTTTGTTTATTTCTATTTCTATTTACAATGTGTTTTAACATAAATTCAATTAGAGAAATAATTGGTGATTTTATTTGCAATTATTAAATTAATATCGTTTTGTTTAGATGATGAATTTTGATGAATATAGTTTTATTTCTATTTTTAGGTCTCTACAAGATGTAATGTCAGGGTTCAATGATTTAAGTGAGTACTACAGTAATTGCTTTTTTTAAATATTAATTAATCATTATTAAGTTGTTGGACCCTAGCCAAATGGACATTGAAAAATAACCGAAACTTATTCTGAGACTTTATATATATATTTGTCTACGTAAGTACATTTTAGGCATGCTTATATGCTTTGTAATCTGTATCAAATCAAATCAAAATGTATATTTCTTTTATCTATTTTCTGTTTCATGGAAAGGCAAAAGGACTCAACCCATACAGCCATAACAAACAAATCAAAATATATATTTTTTTTTTCGGTTTTTCCGTTTCAGGGAAGGCAAAAGGACTCAGCCCATACAGCTATAAAATATCTTTATTCATGTAGGTCTATTACAGACTATTATGATATGCCAAATCTACGTTCAGTTCGGAATGAGAATAACTGACAAGAAACAGCATCAAACGAGCTCGTACATGATTATTAAAATATGGATTACTTTTTTAGAAGCCTGTTCTTATATATGTACATATATCTAAATTATTAATTTGATTGGTATGCCGTTTAATTGCAATAGGTTGGATGGTAATACGCCTCAATTACGGTGGTAGCGAGATACCATTCCCACGCGGAGTACTTCATTATTGGCTGGTAGCGTGACGTGACTGTCATTACGTGGTGATACCGTCTACCATCCATAATGACCAGGTCTATATAGTCATACTATTGCCAATATATATGGTAAATAATTACAAGATTTATATTTTTATTTATAGAATAGAATAACATGTATTTCTAGGTCTATATGCCAATAGATAGTCTGATTTGACAGCCTCAATGGTGTAGTGGTTTAACACACTGTATTATTTCTTATGGTCGCGGGTTCGATACCTCGCGCTATATAAATATTTGTATTCATGAGTATGATTCTTTGGTATTTGTGTTTTCTATTTATGTTACGGGTTCGATTCCTCGCAGAGTACAAACATGTATTCAAGAGTTTGATTGTTTGTATCGGTCTGGGTGTTCTCTATGTATATTGTTGTATATGTAGGGTTATTATAGGTAACTAAATCTTCTATATGTTAAAATTGAGATCGGATTCTTCTATTCTAATTGTTTACCATAAATATAGTACATATCTAATCTATGTACATCTATAGATAACTATACAATGTTTCCGTTACAAGTACAAAAATCACTAGTCTATGGTATTGTTAAACTTCCGGCGTTTAACGATAACTATAGACAATGCCATCTTAGTTTTTTTTTGCTATAAAACATTAAGGTACTGGTACGATGTGTTGGAACAAAAATATTAACAAACTTTTTTTTTAATTTATAATTATTACAAAATAACACTTAGGTAATAAATTTGATATACAAGTGAATAAAATTAGATGGTTATAGATTCTACAATAGACCAATACAAAACTGGGCACGACGACTGCGAGCGAAACAAATTCAAAAGAATTCTAATCGTATAAACAGAGCCTCGTGTAATTCCGTCGAAAATAAGAAAACCGGAACCCTTCCGTATTATCTGAAATTCAATCTATTTGAGCTCATCCCTATCGATGGGAAATCCCCGACAAAAGCTAATACACGACAGTCCATTGTCTTCCGCAGATTTATACTTTGTCCTGCATTGTCATTATTGTGTACACCGCTTTACAATGAGACCCGTTCTTTTTAATTCTCGAATTTTCCGTTGTCGTTCGTATTACGTATACCAACATTGGGATTTGAATTTCGAACGTGATAGCAATATTGCTATTCTAACAATAAATTTTAAATTAAGAATTATTCTACAAAATCAAATAGAAACGAGATGTATTCTATTTTTGAAGTATTTTTTAAATTAGGAATTATATTATTCTAGAACATTCAATAGTGACGAGTTGTATTCTATATTTGAATACCTACGTGCAGTTTATAATAAAATGACGTCACAATTGTAACGTATTTGTGCAAATTGAAATAGGTATTCTATTATATCGAATGTCTCTTTGTCAGTCAAGTTTTGTGGTTTTTCAGTAAGATAATTTTAAATTGCTGTGGAATTCATTATTATCGTATTTAATAAATTATATTAGATTCTTGGCTATCTGTAAAATAAGTAGCTTTTAAAAATAGAATTTTGGGATCACATTTGTAAATGCCCTGCTCAATGAAATTCCAATGTAAAGAAAGGAACAAATTGGTTAGGCGTTGGATTTAAAATTGTAAAATATTATAGCAATGGATCCCCCATTGCTATAAATATTATTTATAGATATAAATACATACAAAACGTTACAGATTTGTATAGTAACTGCCAATTTCAAATAATAATAAAACAAAAATAATAATAATGAAATACCACAAAATCTGACATCGCATAGAGATAGCAAAGTCGCCATTTTATTTAAGGACTGAATAGATAGTGAGGTGAGTAGTCGTCGCTAGATGCGTGTCCGCTTACTTTTCATTGTTAGCAACACCAACAGTCCGGTGTACGGACGTTGTTACTGCTCGGGGACCGATAATATATTGCGGCCAGTGTTGTCGCTTTATAAAACGAACCTTCGTGTTGCCAATTGCAACTATCATATTTTATTGCAACGTTGAAAACGTAATTTTAGTTGTATACAATAACGATACTAAAAATTTAAAAGTAATTACGTTCTGTTTATACATTATTGAGCGTTGCATTTCTGAAAATCAAATCTTAAATGTCTTAAAATAAAGTCCTAAATGAATTGACATTACATTAATTACAAAGTAAGTAATAAAGGTAAGAAAGATACGTACAAATGTAATTGAAAGAAGAAAATAATAATTGTAAGGCAATTATATGAACTTGGTTTGATTTATAAAAAGAAAGAAATAATAGTAACTTGTATTCAAACGATAAATTGGAATAATAGAACGAAAGCCCCGGAGGAGCGCGCTCGCTTGACCATGTCCCCTACAATGCACCCCACTCCCAACTTTACCCCCCTTTATTACGGGGGTGGAAACACTGATCTTTCGCGCTAGGAGACAGGATAGAGTCAGGACATAGACAAAGGAAGGGAGTAAAATCGAAAATAGGTTACAAATAAAAAATAACAAAAAAGTGCGGTATTAATTAAGTAAGCTAAAGTAATGACTATTATTGAATAATCATTAAGTGATCGACCAACGTTAAGTAGACAATATAAGAAGTGTTTAGAAACAAGTTGTTTATAACGTTTAATGGCCCCAAAGTAAACATCTCTAATATCTCTGCATTCTTCCCGTGATTGATGAGCCCTATTGTCAGGTAGACTCGACAACCGCTGATAACGGGTAACGCGCCAAACCATTCGGAAGATTGAGCTAAAGGGGCGGAATTGATCTATGACTAAATACGCCATCGCTGGATTCCATCATAACGTACGGTTGATATCAACTTGTTAGGCACATAGAATTAGGACTGACAAATTTCGAAATAGTTCCAAATTTGAATTTTGAACAAAAAAGGTCAATTCTTTTTTTAAATGCTAAAAAGTGATTCACACAGCTATTGTTGTCTATTCCTAACCAGTCACTCATGAGGGAGTTAATTGGATTATAATACATATTAAATAAACTATGGACAAATAATGAACGTGTAACGTCTGGTTAGAAACATACGAACAACTGCAACATTTATATAGTGTACCTTTTTTAGGAATAAGCGACTTGAGTAGCATCACGGCGGCCTCGTCGCACGCCCACGCGTGCATTTTCCTGTACGAGTCGCGACCTTTCTCCGTCAGCTTATCCCAGGGCTTCGGCTTCGAGAGCAGCTCCGACACGGTCCCTTGCGACAGCCCGAGCACATACTTGGCGAACAGTCTCTGTCCAATGTTATGGACCGATAGCAACTCCCGGACCCGTCGGCTGATGTGTAGCGTGTCCAAGTTGGTGTTCGCATATTTGTCCATGTTATATCGGAGCATCTCCTGAAGTCTCGCTTCCATCGGGTCGCCTTTCGGTATCAGGGAGTCGCCCAGGCGTCCGACTAGCGCTCCGGGCGGGAGCGGGCCCATGTCCTCCGCGAATCTGTAAGGGCGGTGCTCCTCGAAGCGGAACGGGCTCGGCGGCGGCAGCGGAAGTGGCGTGGGCCCGTTGTTGTTATGATGCGTGGTGTTGTTGTTGAGGGGGGGCGGCGTGCTGGGCCACTCTTCAGCACCTGCAGTGAGAGCACGGTTACGCGGGAACACGAGGAGCGAGGGCTGGGGGTAGGGATGCGGGGGCCGGGGGACAGGGTTCCACGCACGCTCGTAAGCGTCGCAACCATTCGGCAACGATGTACGAATGTATAATGCGCACGCGGCGTCTCTTATGTTTGCATGCTCCGAATTCTAAGCCTACGTTTGTAACGATTACGCGCGTCCGTGAGCGGCATGGTGACGGCAGAGGTGGTGGGAACTGGACGGTCCTCGTACTCCGCGCGTCGGACACAGAAAAGTGAAGCGAACACGAACTAGCTACGGACAACACAGGGTTACATCGATTGCGCGATCGATCGGGACGACGACATATCGATACGAATCGATTCGTTGATCGAATCGGTACACTGATTGTTACAACTTGACTGAAACCGACAAAATTAAGTTCATCTATGTTATATAAGTGTGTATAGGGTGTGTTAAGGTCAAGTTAGGCTGGTCAAGTTAGAACAATCGTGTGATCGTGGGTACCTGTGTCTCGGCGCTCGGTGCTCCGCTCGCGCTCAGCTGAGCTGCGCTCGTGTGGAGGTGCAGGGGGCGAGCGCAGCGGCTCTGGCTTCCGCTCTAATGACCGCTCGCTCGGCCCCAAGTCCAGAGACCTGAGCATGCTGCAACAAACACAAGTAATGTGAATACATTGATTGTACTATAGAGATCATCTGGTTTTGAAATTAATGAATAATAGATTTATGAAAAATCTAATAACTTTGTTATGACAACAAAAACATATTACTAATAAATGTTTAATTATTATTCATCCGTAATACCTCCAAATATTAACCCCCATAGTAGTTTAACTTCAATCGAAACGTTCAGATCTCGTATAGCATCGCATAACGAACGTATAGTATCTATAAAATTACATCGAATACGGAACAGCAATTCCATTATCATATTTTGCCGATCGGATAATTGTAATGTAGTCTAAAATTCCACCATAAAGTACAGTGTTCGCAATAGAAAACGCTACCTAATCAGGACCGGGTCACCTTCGGTACACCTTAATAAATTGAGCGAAAGTGAATTGATTAAAACCATTCCAGGTGAATTAATTAAGTATTTTAATTAATAGGATATGCCGGTGCCCTTATTGGCAATATTCCTTTCATAAATTTATTAAGATTGAACCCTTTGAGGGGTCCTTGGGCCGTTCGGAGATAAGACCCCACTAATAATGGCGTTTAACGTAGACCAATGCTTTACTGTGCTCTGATTAGCAATGGTTGTTACGATTATGTATGTTTGTTTTTATCTGATCACCTCTGTTTCATTCGGGTGATACTATATTAGAAATTTCTAAGTCATTTCGATGACCTCGGTGGTCTAGCGGTCGTCTGATGGTCGCGGGTTCGATTCCTCGCACGGCACAAACATTTGTATTCATGAGTATGATTGTTTGTATCGGTCTGGGTGTTTTCTATCTATAATATGTATGTATTTACGAAAAAAAAATCTATGTATTTGTATCAGTTATCAAAGACCCATAACACAAACTTTAGGTAGCTTAACTTGGGTCTAGATGGCATTGTGTAAGTTGTCCTGAGATTATTATTATTATTTTCATTATCATCATTACATAGTATAAAACAAAGTCGCTGTCGCTGTCTATCCGTCCCTATGTATGCTTAAATCTTTAAAACTACGCAACGGATTTTGAAGCGGTTTCTTTTAATAGATAGATTCAAGAGGAAGGCTTATATGTATAATACGTGTACATCTGTGCGAAGCCGTGGCGAGTAGTTAGTATAGTATAAAATTAAGTCGCTTCTGTTGTCTGTTCGCTTCGATCTTTTAAACTACGCAACGGATTTTAATGCAGTTTTTAGCAATAGATAGAGTGATTCAAGAGGAAGGTTTATATGTATAATACATGTACACCCGTGTGAAATCGGGGCGAGTAGCTAGTTATAAATAAAATACAGCCCATTTTACTCGTTGATAACTTAACTTTTTTTAGGTGATACAATTTTTTTAATTAGCCATGTCTTTCTCGTTACAAAAAAATAACTTGTCCTCTTCTATATGCAAATTACTTCATATATAAATACTTGATTACTTGAATGACGAGTGTGCATGGCAATAGTTGTTCATGCACTGAATTTTCATTTAATGTTAGACATAGACACCTATATAAATATACATTGTAAATAAACTGGCTTTAAAAAAAAAAGTAATTCAATTGAGTTTCTTGCCAGTTCTTCTCAATTGGATCTATATACCGAACTGGACGGTAGGGAAAAAAATAAAATTATAATGTAAAAATTTGACGTTCATAAGCGGCTAAAATGTCCTACATGAATAAATGATTTTTGAATTTGAATTTGAATTTGAATACATATATTTAAATTAAGTAAGTTGCACTCTATTATACGTATTGATTTATTCCTTACTGTACCATATAATAGTAATGAACAATCAACTGTAATTAAAACTATTTGCGTTACAGAACCGGATTTAACCGGATATATCCGTCAACCAGTCGCTGGATAAATAGTTTTCGGATCTTTCAATCGACTTGTGCATATAGTTATTTGCGACCAATCGGGCGACTAGTCGAATATCGATATGCAGAGCTCAAGATTTTCACACCTCCGACAATAGGGTTGCACCTTAATTACGATTTAATATATCGCCAATTATATCGTTGATCGGTACAATACGACCGGATTGGGGAGTTGCAGTAATTGCGCACCTGTGAGCACGTGGGGCACTTCGGGCCCCGGTTGTGTAACCGGAGTTGTTCATTTGTTTAACTCTACATTTAGTATGGATGCATAGAGTTAATTGAACAAGCGAAGACGCGTCATCTTGTCTTACAATATGTAGTTCCAGTTAATGTTTATATAATCAATTTCTACTTATTTCTTTGTTCAATTTACTTCATTTCTATATTGTAGATACTAACTTACTAATATTATAAACGCGAAAGTTTGTGAGTATGGATGGATGTTTGTTACTCTGTCACGCTAAAACTACTGAACGGATTTCGATGAAACTTTACAGTAATGTAGCTTATACATGGTCACTCTATTCTCCCAAATTTGAATTTTAAAAACTATATTTATTGTAAACATGTTCCACTATTATTTGAAACAAATACGAGCTGAGTTTCTTGTCAGTTCTTCTCATCTCGATATCATTCCGAACAGACTCTTATGATATGTCAACGGTAGATTTGACTTATCATAAGAGTCTGTAATAGATCTACATGAATAAAGATATTTTGAATTTGAAAATTTGAACATGAACATAATATATAGGCTACAATTTAAAAAGATATTATGTAAATTATGCGAAATATAGTTCTATAAAATTTTGTGGTGAATTTATCATAATGGGCTAAGTAAGATAACCTTATGCTTCTTCTATCATCCTCCACTGGTGCCCCGTCAGCATAAACTGTAAGCACAGACGGGTACACGGTTCTATAATCGATGACGACCTCGGTGGTCTAGCGGTCTAGTACACCGCTTTACGTCCGATGGTCGCGGGTTTGATTCCTTGCACAGCACAAACATTTGTATTCATTAGTATGATTGTTTGTATCTGGGTGCTTTCTATGTATAATATGTATTTACAAAAAAAAATATCTATGTACTTGTGTCAGTTACTTGTTATCTAGTACCCATAACATAAGCTTTAGCTAGCTTAACTTGGGTCTAGATGGCTCTGTGTGAATTGTCCTGAGATTATTATTATTATTATAATCATCCATAAAAAAAATATCTAGGAGTAGAGAATACTCTAAGAATAAAATATCATTTCAAATATCGAACAAGTTTAATTTTTTTTCTACATTTCCTTTTTCGGACAATATTCGTTTCGCGCCAACCGCCCGTAGTGTTGTGCTGACTTTAGCAAACATTGTGTTTGGAGTTTTACGTTTTCGAGTTTTACGATGTTCCCGAATAAATACGTTATAAACGCGAGTCCCGTGTACTGGTAACTCCGTGACATAGTTATGTTTTACGCGAACGGGGAAGTGGGTGAGCGTCTATGATAGCTTAGAGTTTTAATAGCATGCCGAGCAGCGGCGGCCGTGGAGCCCTTGTTTGTTTGTCCGCAACTTTTATAATATGCGTGCGTTTTATCGGCGAAACACCGCGTATCCATAACTAGAGGTTTATTATTAAAAAAAAAAAGTCAAATAAAGACAATGACAAATGATTTTTTTTTATAAAACTTATCATCGGTTTGTTTGTATTTGATTTGAATATGTTTTTTGTATGTATAATTGTATTTTGATTTTATCATTTTTATACTGAAAGTTTATTTATGTCTAATATCTTTTGGTATATGTATTATTTAACAAAATTAAGTTATATAAAGTAAAACAAGAATTAATACATATGTACATACATTATCAGTTGTACCTATATTGAAATCATTACAAATTTTAAAACGTTTAAAATTAATTTCTTATACAAAATACTAATAATCGTCTCCAAGACGTTCATGTTCCGGGCGGAAGCTTAAAAGCATCTTTGTCTTGCCCAAAAGCCTTCAGTTAAGGCTGTGTAACACACTGAATATTTTATGTGCCGAACCGATGTGGGCCCTCCTTAGTTTATTACAGGTTTTTGAATTAATTAACTCGTTATAACTCGCACATTTTCATTAGATCAGAACATGCAAAGTGCATAGTTTGCGTTGCAAAATTAAAGTAGTTATCTGTTCTCTTCATTACACTGTGCCAGGAAGGTAACTCTGCAAATCTTTATCTAAATATTGCATATCTATTGATTAATTCAGCGGCTTTCATCTTTGGGAGCAACTCAACAGGAATTCCTAATTTATTAATCAATATCGAAACATCCTTCTGTCGGATTCCCCTAGCCGTAACTAGAAATATGTCTTTGAAATCTCTCTTTAAGGGGTGAAATTTTCAACCCCTTAGTCACAGAATGCGATTCATTAATCAAAAACGTGGCACAGATTCTCAATATTTCAAAGTTGGCATCGAATTCACGTCGATCAGAATCACGATACGCTCGATGTGGTCGAACAATGACGTTGACGGAGCACAATCGAACATTATCAGTCAAATCATCGGTCGGCGATAACGCGGCTCCGCCCAGTTCCGAACGAGTGACCAATCGATTGGTCAATACGATAACAGTTACGCCTTTCGAATCGTTCACGTACGGAACGGTGCACAACACTGTTCCACATTCAAATTTCGAACACCGTGTAGGTACTGAGAGCGATACGCGTCATTGGCTCCGGCCGTTCCAGTACAAAGCCACTATTGACATGTCGCTCAGTTTTCGGAATTTAAAATTATGTCTTATTCAAACGTTTAAACGACGAAAGCAACATTGTGTCAACATATTGTAAAAAGCTTAGGACCGACCAGTATTCTTTTTATGGCATCAAAAAACGTCGGGGAGCGTAAATTAGTTGATAATTTGTGTGTGACAGTGTGAGGCTAAACTTTCGTTAAATGTAAGACAAACATCGCCTAAGCAAATGGAGACAGGTGTCCGCGATAGGCCCTCGCCATATTGATATATAGGAGGCAAACATAGTTCTGTATACCATATTATATAGACGACTGATGTTTGTGTTCCTCGAGAAATATGTAAATCACATGTGTGCATAGAAGCTA